AGACTCACATGAATTGCATCACATGCACCTGCCAAGAGATTGTATGGTCATCCCTCACATGATGATGATGATTGTAGAGCAAGCGCATACTCCTAGTAAAGTACTACTCCTGCATACTTCGAACCAGACGCATCTGACTGCAAACGAGTGAGCAGAGCGAGCCTACCACTACGAAGTATTTACACATGCCTCTCACAGGCCCCCTCCATCCCCGGTCCGAGCATCAATCAGAGGCATAGATCGGAGTCCCGAGCGCATTCCCCGAACGGCACACACGGCTTGGACTAATCGGGGAAGCCGTTCGATCTGAGCGGCCCTGAATGAACCTTGCAAGCTAACTAGTAGCTATTTCAATAGCAGTGAGCCCGGAAATAATAACGTTTCAGTCGGCGACTGCACAACTCTAGCTGCATGAGATGATTTTCTAGTTGCGACAAGGGTTGACGTGGGCTTACTACTACTAGCTACCTACCAAGTACTTGGTATAATGGACTGGCCAGCCATCGCTATGACTTGTCTTGCCCTTGATGGAAAGCATCGGAAATACAAAGCAAAGAGAGGGAAAAATCTCTGCTATGATGCGTGACCGCTGATTGCCGCGTGTTGTTTGCTTCATAATCAAATCACTTGACCTGCTAGATATTTATTCTAGGAGATATGTGCTCCGAAAGCTAGACTCGATAGTAGTACTACAATGTGGTTGTTGTGGTTATGATGATTATTGATGGAGACTGGGCTGGAATCCGGACTCCGTAAAAGCGTGGGAAAAGGAAAAAGCGGAGAGATAGTAGTTAGTTACTACTTGCTAAGGTACCCCGTTGGCGGAGCAGCGTCCTCCGGGACCCAGCGGACAGAAACACACGGGGTGACTAATGGGGCTCGTTTGAATGATTAATGCACCCGGAGAATTGCTATGTTGGGGAGGGATAATCCGCCTATATTTGATTTTCTGGCTTGGAAGATAATATGGTGGGTGGGTGGGTGATTATTGCTATAGAAACTAGAAGTGTCAATGACCGGCGGGGTGAAGAGCATTTTGTAGGAGGTTCAGTAGTTAGTATGTTATCGGAGAGTTGTATCTAGGGCCAACTCAGAGATCTGCGTGTTTCGATATGACAGGTTACAGGGCTTAATGGTGGACAATTGGTCGAGGGGAGGAGAATGCAACTCTTGTCCCTGCAATTATCAAGCAAGTATGTAATAATGCTGGAGGGATGATGGGGGGGGAGCTTTCCCTGGTGGCGTTTCGGAGGGATACTTCCAGACTTCTCTCGTATAGCTGACGGCAAGCAAGATGATGGTGAGAATAACAGCGTGCTCTAGCTATGCTCCATCGATTTTCTAGTCTAGTATAGATGAAAAATAATATGAAAATTGTTCTCTGTAGCTTCACAGTACTTCTGTTGAGAGCTGGAAAAAAAGGTTGCATTGAATTCCGGAGGGGCCGCATACTGCCTGAGGCAGCGGGGGAGGGGCAGATTGTGCATAACATCATCATCAATCATCATTATCAAGTATACTCACTACCTTGAGGACCTCGACAGCTTCACCCTTAACGCCCCCGTACCAACATCAGCTCCGTCACATCCCTCCAGAGTTAGTTCCAGTAATCTACAGTCCAAGATCAATCAATTGCCTGGCATTAGCCGACCCCGAGTCCGAAGCAGTAGAAAAGAATAGCCGTGGACAACAGCGAGCTTTGTAACCCCCTCCGAGCAGCCGGTGAAAGAGAGGTGCCCCACCACAGACATCATTGCCCCCCCACCTTCCCTTTCTCACCCTCTCTCTGCTCTTGGTCGCGGTTGCCCTCCATCCCACTCCGCTCGTCTGGCTCGCTTTTCCCCCCTCCCTCCCCCTTCCCTGTCATCCTTTCTCCTTCTCTCTTCTTCCTTCTTTCTCTTCTTCTCCTCTCTCAGTCATCTTTCTTCCTTTCTTCATCTCGTGGTGGTCTTCCCATTTGTGTTGATTGTTTGTTGGATCATCCCGCTACATAGAAAACAAGAACTTGGTTGGATTTAAATAGTATGGCCCCTCCCCTCATTTCTTCCCCAACAACTTTCAACTTTCCCCCATCCAACCTCCTTCTCTAACCTTTCCCTCCTTCTCTTCTAGACACAGCAATCATGGGTTACAACGACGTTGACCAATTGGCCATCAACACCATCCGCACTCTCGCGGTATGCATCTCCTGCTTCCATTCTCTTGCTTCCTTATCCCACTCCCATCCGATTCCGGTGTGACGGAGAGCTTCTCCAGAGCTCCGGCACCGGAAGCCCATTCCTGGTATCACAGGGACTCCGCGGAGCACAGCCTCCCGCGCTGATTATCAGCTATGTGTAGCTGCTATCTCCTCGGAGCTCCTTGTTTTACTACCCATGGCTTGCGGAGTGATCATTCCTTCAAGGAATTATTGATAATAGTCAAATTCGAAACTAATCGTCCCTTAGGTGGATGCCACCTTCAAGGCCAACTCCGGTCACCCCGGTGCCCCTATGGGCATGGCCCCCGTGTCCCACGTCCTCTTCAACAAGTTCATGAGCTTCAACCCCCAAAATCCCGACTGGGCTAACCGTGACCGCTTCGTTCTCTCGTAAGTTTTGGCCTGCACCATCACTGTCCAAGTAATCGGTTTACTAATTCCTCCACAGCAACGGCCACGGCTGCATGCTCCAATATGCTCTCCTTCACCTCTTCGGCTACCAGGTCTCCATGGATGACCTGAAGTCCTTCAGAGTATGTATCCGCCGAGAGTTCTCTCTGGGGACCCATTGTAGTCATGTTCTAACCCTTCTGCTCGTGTAGCAACTCGACAGCATCACCCCCGGTCACCCCGAGGCTCACGACACCCCCGGTGTCGAGGTCACCACTGGTCCTCTGGGTCAGGGTTTCGCCAACGCCGTTGGTCTTGCCATTGCTGAGCGTCACTCCGCTGCCGTCTTCAACAAGCCCGGCTACACCCTCTTCAACAACTACACATACTGCTTCTTCGGTGATGGCTGCGCCATGGAGGGTATTGCCAGCGAGGCCGCCTCCATGGCTGGTCACCTGAAGCTCGGTAACCTCATTGCTATCTACGACGACAACGGAATTTCCATCGGTAAGCTTCATTCAACACCCTGATCCCCTCAGGATTACAACCAGACTAATTCGGGTTTGTTTTGCAGACGGTGACACCAAGTGCGCCTTCACTGAGGATGTTATGAAGCGTTTCGAGGCCTACGGCTGGCACACCGAGTACGTCAAGGACGGTGACAACGACCTTGAGGGCATTGAGGCCGCCATCAAGAAGTGCCAGGCTGTCACTGACAAGCCCTCCGTCATCCGCCTGACTACTACCATCGGTTTCGGTTCCAAGCTCCAGGGTACTGGCGGTGTCCACGGTAACCCCCTGAAGGCTGACGACTGCGAGGGTGTCAAGCAGCTCTTCGGCTTCGACCCCAAGCAGACCTTCGTCGTTCCCCAGCAGGTCTACGACCTCTACCACAAGCACGCCGCTGAGGGTGCTGCCAAGGAGCAGGAGTGGAACCAGCTCCTCCAGAAGTACGCTTCTGAGTACCCCAAGGAGCACGCCGAGCTCACCCGCCGTCTCTCCGGCAAGCTTGCCGAGGGCTGGGAGAAGAGCCTGCCCGTCTACAAGCCCACCGACGCTGCCGTTGCTACCCGTAAGCTCTCCGAGGCTGTCCTCGAGAAGATCCACGATGTTGTCCCCGAGCTTCTGTCCGGCTCTGCCGACTTGACTGGCTCCAACAACACCCGCTGGAAGAACGCCGTCGACTTCCAGCCCCCCGAGTACAACATCGGTGACTGGTCCGGTCGCTACCTCCGCTACGGTGTCCGTGAGCACGCCATGGCCGCTGTCATGAACGGTCTCGCCGCCTACGGTACCGTCATCCCCGCTGGTGGTACCTTCCTGAACTTCGTCTCCTACGCCGCCGGTGCTGTCCGTCTGTCGGCCCTCTCCCGTGTCCGCACCATCTACGTTGCCACCCACGACTCCATCGGTCTGGGTGAGGACGGTCCTACCCACCAGCCTATCGAGACCCTGGCTCACTTCCGTGCTCTGCCCAACTGCATGGTCTGGCGCCCTGCTGACGGCAACGAGACCAGCGCTGCCTACTACTCTGCTCTGACCTCCAAGCACACCCCCAGCATCCTGGCCCTCACCCGTCAGAACCTGCCCCAGCTCGAGGCTTCCACCATCGAGAAGGCCCTCAAGGGTGCCTACGTCGCCCTCGAGGCCCCCGACGCTGCCGTCACCCTCATCTCCACCGGTTCCGAGGTCAGCATCTGTATCGAGGCTGCCACCTACCTCAAGGAGAAGCACGGCATTGCTGCCCGCGTCGTCTCCGTTCCTTGCTTCGAGGTCTTCGATGCCCAGGACAAGGCCTACAAGCTCCAGGTCCTCCCCGACAACATCCCCGTCCTCTCCGTCGAGGCCCTCACCACCATGGGCTGGGAGCGCTACGCTCACGAGCAGTTCGGTCTCAACCGCTTCGGTGCCTCTGGCCCCTACAAGGATGTCTACAAGGTAAGCTACAAAATACATATTCCCCCTTTGATAACGGCATATGCTAATTCACTTTACCATAGAAATTCGAGTTCACTCCTGAGGGCATCAGCAAGCGCGCTGTCGCCACCATTGACTTCTACAAGGGCCACACCGTGCGCTCTCCCATCAACCGTGCTTTCCAGCAGATTCTGTAAATGTCTTGCGGTGGCATCGTGATGGTTTGTACTGAATCATGTTTATGAGTATCCGGGACGATGTTGATCCCTGTGGGCGATGATACCCCTGGGAGAAGTCCTAATTTTTAACGACTTTTTCTTTGAAGATAAAAATATATGCAATCTTTTTCATTCAAATTCTTGGTTTATGATAGTTTCATTCTTTGCTTGGGTAGATTTAGAGGGGAATTGGTCTATGATGGGAGTATACTAGCACCAGTTTTGGCTTTCAAGTGGACTTGAACAAGCTGCACCGGCAGCAACACCGAACTAAGCGCGTACACATACGGTTGGATTACGATGTAGTCATATGGTGTCCACTTTTCCCAAAGCGGATATTGGCTAGTATTATATCTTAGAAGATCCTTTCGACTTGCATCTCACGTGTGAAATCCATGTGAAGCATCGGGGGAATATTATTGAGGAAGCAGCAGAAATCTTTTGTTATATTCGTCATCGTCAGATCATCATCGATTATCAGCCGCCGTGGGGCCTCGAAACGGAGGAGGCCACCACCCAAAGTATTAGAACGACAAAACTTCAGATAGTCTAAGCGTCCAGGGCCTTGCGGGCGAAGTTGGGGAGAACGAAGCTGGCGCGGTGGATGTCCTGGTTGTAGTAGCGGCAGAGCTTCTCCTCCTCCTCGCGGGTCCAGCTGCGAACGGGCTCCTTGACGTTACGGGTGGCATCCTTGCAGCAGACCATGAAGCCGATCTGGCCGGAGGGGTAGGTGGGGATGGTGGTGTAGGCGTATTCGGCGACGGGGAAGACCTCCTTGCAGGACTTCTTGAGGTCGGTGATCAGAGACAGGTGAAGCCATTGGTTCTCGGCTGTATGGGTAGAAACACGAACCCAAACCGATCCCGGGTTAGGGGTCGGGTGGTTTGGGACGTAACAAGGTTAGCTTCATAGTTCGCGATGGGAAAATACAGCCAACACAGATAACACAAACAACATGAAAAGTTTGAGAGAGATAGAGAGAAGTTAAGAAGGGGAGAGAGAAGTGGGATAGAAAGGGCAAGAAGGGACTAATGAAAGGCGACGAACAACCTTGTGTGGTGATGACACCTCCCTCACGGAGCGCATCGCGCAGAAGCTCGAAGTAAGGCTTCTGGAAGAGGCTCTCAGCGGGACCCTCGGGGTCAGAGCTGTCAGTGATGATAACATCGAACTCGTTCTGGCGCTCCTTGAGGAACTGGAAACCATCGCCAACGTGGACCTTGACGTTGGGGTGCTGGAAGCCAATGCTCATGCCAGGAAGGTACTTCTTGGAGACACGGATGACAGCCTGAGAAACCATGAGCCACATATTCTCACACACGGCACAAGCACGCGGGGATTTTCTGTTGATTTACCTCGTCAATGTCGCACAGGGTGGCCTCCTCGACGGTCTCGTGCTTGACGACCTCACGGAGGACACCACCGTCACCACCACCGATGACAAGGACCTTCTTGGGGTTGGGGTGGGAGTTCATGGCGAGGTGGGTGATCATCTCCTGGTAGCTATAGTCATATTATGTTAGGGCCAATGGTATTTTCGGAAATGGAAGATAGCTCGTGGGAAGGGTTCCAAAACATACGAGAACTCATCGCGCTCAGTGCACTGGATGACATTGTCGAGGACGAGGACGGTGCCGTAGTCGCTGCTCTCGAAAACGAGAACATCCTGGTACTTGGACTTCTCGTGGTGGAGGATCTGGTTAACCTTGAGGTTCATGGCCTGGCCGGGCCACATGTCAGACTGCTCGGAGAACCAGCCATCTGTAGAAAAAAGCGAAGAGCCAATGTTAGCGAGGAGGGGTAATAAATTCTCGTTGGAGGGGTAAGTAGTGAGATGACATCGTCTTGAGGCGAAATTGCGCTCATTGAAGCGTCATAATCGGGAATTGATCCATTGAAAGGATTTGGAGAGTAGGTTTGGGGATTGCGAAGAGAACAGGAGGCGGGGTAAACCGCGAGGTGATGATGGAGGGGTGGTTGGATGGTGCGGATAAGGTAAAGAACTACTACTAACATACCCTTGATGGTGGGGTGAGTGATGTCGCTCATGGTGATGGAGTGGTGAAAAGGACGGAGAAGACGAGGACGAAGACGGAGAGCAGACAGCGAAGAAGCAGCTGAAGGGAGACGGAAGAGAAGAGAAGAAGAAGAGGAAGAGAGAGAGGAAGAGGAAGGAGGAGAGAAGGAAAGCGAAAGGAAAGAAGCGACGAGAGACGAACGCATGCGGAGTGGGGGAAAAGTTGAAAACCAGAAACAGAAAAATTGTATGTACGGCCGCTGACCAGTGGTAATTTATCACCGGCGATGGCGGCCACTCAGGTGGGGTTTTCTCTCTTTTGTCGCCCATTTCGGTAATTTTCTCTGATGGCCAGTGGGTTTGGTTGCCGTATTGCTGGTTAGTATGGTATGACCTTGTGTCTGTAACTTAAAGAGTAATAGCATCCACTTCAACTTGCCTCAAAAGAGTCTTCCCTTCTTTCTTATCTTGATCAGAATTGTACGATAATCCTAAGGGATAGTAGACACTTGCGTAACTCAATTGGTCAACGCGCATTATTCTCCATCCAATCGTCGGCGCAATTGTGGTCCTTTAGGATACTTTAGTATCACGGCCAAGGCAGTCCAACATCTCCATTTTGTACCACAATCATCACATTCGGGCATTCGGGCAGCACTCACTCAGCATCGCAAATAGTCAGAGAAAAATCGCATGGCCAATTGACCTGCCCAGGAAGCGTGGGATACTTCCCGCGCTGAAAAGGCTCAAGCAATAGCCGCCGGTGATTGGCAGACTACACTACGGGTTGGCCTCAGGCGGGTGTGGAATCCCTCCGGCCTATACGATGCCGCCCATTCTTGATTACAGATGCATCCCACGCGCGGTCAAGGCAACCAAAAACATTGCAACACATTCGATTGCTTCTAGTTACTGTACAGTGCAATCACACATCCAGCCCTTCCATATTGTCCCATGCCATCCCTATTCTCTCAAAGTTTTCCCAGCTGGCACGTTACATTTACTCGTCACCACCCTCAAGGAGGCGGCCAGGCTTGGAGTTGAGGTACTCGTTCCTGTAAAGAGTCCAAGCGTCAGCTCTGAGATGTTCAATTGTACCGGAAGCATGGGTAATAGAGGCTTTCATGTCCACACGTAAGGGGGAGGCATACCTCTCAACAGCCCAGTTCATGATGGCGTAGGCGGCAATGAAGGGAGGAGCGACGTAGAGGACCTGGTGTCTGAATCTGCGGAAAACGTTGAAGATGGCAGCGTGACCGGCACCGGCAAGAGGGCGCTGGCGGTTAGGGGACATGGAGTAGGAGGTGACACGCTGGGGAGTAGGGCATCCTAGATGGTGCAGAAACAAGCCATGTCAGCAAGGGTTCCGAAGTCCAATTGCGCATTCTGTCGTTATTGAAGCTGCATTGCGTCGACAGTACAGGGCTATAATCGAGTAACAAGCCCGATGGCCCGATATTGCTGACAGTCGGAAGGCTTCGCAGACAGGCGAATCACGTTGATATTGTAGACATACCCAGATCACCCCACCAGCCCAGGAAGCTAGAAGAATCACAAGTTAGCCATCATAATTAGCCAATAATCTACGACTCAGATGGAGTTAAAGTCATTCGATGTAGGGGACATGGGTAGATATCACGGCAGACGAGACCGCACGGTACCCTTTCCCCCGGAAAAGCTAGGGAGCGGACAAGACGAGACAATGGGGTAGAAAACTCACACTCCATTCTTAGGATCGAGATGGCCACCCATTGTGAAGAGATGTGACGAGAATCAGCGACGTAAAGCGCGATGTGGGGAGGGAGAGATGGAGCGTGAGAGGAGAGAGAGAGAAGTCGTCGTCGGTGACCTTCGGACCAAAACGGACGAAAGTCGAAGTTGGAAGTTCAAACCACCGCCCAGCGCTAATCCGTTTTGGGACAGCATGCGAAAAGCCTCGACATCATCTCCAGCCAAACTCCCGCCCGCCTGATAATTACGGTCGTTTCTCTGTCGCTGCTGAAGTCCCCGTCCCCTCGCTCATCACTCCATCACCATGTCTACCCTTCTTCAGCAGGTCTACCGCCTCGCCGTGCCTATCTCGGCCGGAGTCTACCTCTTCAACTCTTCCATTTACGATGTTCGCGGTGGTACCCGCGCTGTCATCTTCGACCGATTGTCCGGAGTGCAGGAGAAGGTCATGAACGAGGGTACACACTTCCTCATCCCTTGGTTGCAGCGGGCCATTATCTATGATGTTCGCACCAAGCCCCGCAACATCTCTACCACCACGGGAAGTAAGGACTTGCAGATGGTCAGCTTGACCCTGCGTGTGCTGCACCGTCCTGAGGTCCCGAAGCTGCCGGCCATCTACCAGGTAAGATAGAGTGTACCATTCTATACTCAACTGAGACCAATCCCTCTAACCATGACCCTTCCAAATAGTCCTACGGTATCGACTACGATGAGCGTGTGCTCCCGTCCATCGGAAACGAAGTCCTCAAAGCCATTGTCGCCCAGTTCGATGCCGCCGAGCTGATCACTCAGCGTGAAGCTGTCTCCAACCGCATCCGCACAGACCTCATGAAGAGAGCTTCTCAGTTCAACATCGCCCTCGAGGACGTCTCCATCACCCACATGACCTTCGGAAAGGAATTCACACGCGCCGTCGAGCAGAAGCAGATCGCCCAGCAGGACGCCGAGCGGGCCCGTTTCATCGTCGAGAGAGCCGAGCAGGAACGTCAGGCCAATGTCATCCGCGCCGAGGGTGAAGCCGAGAGTGCCGATATCATCAGCAAGGCTGTTGCCAAGGCCGGCAGTGGTCTGATTGAGATCCGTCGTATCGACGCCAGCAAGGAGATCGCGACGACGCTCGCCAACAACCCCAACGTCACGTATCTGCCTGGTAACGATGGCAAGGAAGGCGGAAAGAGCACTAGCCTCTTGCTGGGCTTGAGAAACTAGAAGGCGCTGTGGCTTGGTAAATGGAATTACGTGTATTTCTTATTTCTCTTTTCTTTGTTGCGTTTCCTTCAACCGGATGGATCTCAGGCGTGCATGATCTCCGTGGCGAATTAATGTCGTTTGGTCTTCTTTCTTCATCTCTTCCTCCTCTCCTACACCCTCACACTCACACGCATGCACCCTTATTCGCATCGACCTGTAGCAATATCATACCCATTCCTCTCTCAAGAGTGCCTCTACTTATCCAAACCAAACCTTATAGCAGGTAACAGACTCCACGACATAGATTCCACGATGATAGGTATCATTGTAAGCCATAAACCAAATGCAACCATACAAACAAGGCATAAAAGCCTACTCCCCCACCCTCCGATAAACATGAACCTGAAACCTCATATCCTCCAACCCAGCCCCCTCCCCAACATCATACCTCAACCTAGCCGCATCCCTCCTCCACCACCTCGAATCCTGCGACAGCAAGCGTTCCCACTTCCCCTCCGCCACCGAAAGCAGCGTATGATCCAACAAGAACTTCATCGGATACTGTCTCTCCCGCACTTCGCCATCACCACCCTTCCCCAACTTCAACGTCGAATAACTCCCGGGACTATCCACCACAAGTAGCACCGTCCCAGGCTGCAACAGATCCGTCATACGTAGCAAGAACCCCGTTGCCTTGGCCATGGACGTCGAGAAGAGTTCATTCAAAGTAAACATCAACGTCACCAAGACAGTAGAGCATGATTCCGAGCCCTGCCGTGAGAATAATCCCTGAAGTTCCTTCTCCCCCGCGGAGAGGACATCTAGCTTCTCGAACTGGACGTTGAAGCCGGGCGTCTTCTTCTTAACCTTCTTCTCTTCGTCTTCATTGGAGGGTAACAACGGAGCAGGATGCGACTTCGACCCCGTCACTGTGGGAGACCGAATAGCGGTGGATAAGCGCTCAACTACCTTTGACCAGTCTGCGATGTCTACCGCCGTGACGGAGAGGCCGGGGTAGGTGGTAGCAGTAGCAGTAGAAGTAGAAGTTTGTTGTTGTTTCTCTTCTTCTTGATCCCCTTCTTCTTTCCCATCATCCAAAGACACCGCCTTAACAGCATCCACAATCTGGCCCTCATCACTTGCAGCAGAAGAAGAGCGTAGTTCAGCACCATCCAGAAAATCCCTCCAAGCAGCCGCAAGCGCAACAATCTCAGCGCCCGCGCCACCCCCAATACACACGACATTATTCGTAGCAGCAGTATCAGCATCATCAGAAACAGGCTTAACTACCTCCTTCAACAGCGCACGAAAGATGCCCGCATACCCCAAGGCCCTAGACGAGCTCCACCGCAACGCATAAGCACGAAGTAAATCCTCATTCGCATCTGTAAAAGCGGAGTCAAAGTCCCGATTATATAAATGGGCTTTGATCGTCTGGATCAGACTCTTGATGTCTAGTTGCTCCTGCTGTTGCTGTTGCTCTGCTGAATCAGCGGTGGCTGCAGTCGTAGTAGCATAATCATCATCCCGATTATGGAGGTAATTGTGCCCGTTTGTGAGCAAGGCAGTTTTGAACACATTTAGCAGAAGTTGCTGGAGAGTCAGCGGGATGGTGGTGGAAATGTTAAGTTCATGGTTTTGATGATGTTGGTTGGGCTCGGTTTTGCTGGTGGTTCGGCGTGGTTGTGCTTGCGAGGAAGAAGAGGAAGACTTCTTTTTACTACTCTCCTTCTTGTTGGACTTTTTAGATGTGTTGCCGGATCGAGGAGGTGCCATTTTCAAATAGAGTGTGGAATTTGTGTTTCAGGTTATTTCTTACATTGATTGCTAGTAGGGTATGTTGTCTGGATTCAGTTTAGGATTTGGGGAATTTTCGGTTTCGCATTTGGATGGGCGTGTGGGGCTCTCCGTGGTTGGATATATATCGTCACTGTACAGAACATTCATGCGCCAGTATTTGGCATTCTCCACTGAAGGATGGGCTTCATTTTCTGGGATGAGCACTACTAATGGTTAATATTACGCTATCATTGCCTGCTACAGCTGTTGTATTAACCTCAGGTATCCACACTAATATCTCATATACGTGACAAACTAGTAAAGCTCGGAATGATTACTGAGTAAAACGCCATCATAGTGATGACGCGGAGTGTAGATTGAATTGTCTGTGAGCAGCTCATACTGTTTGCATGTAGCTTCGCATGCTCAATGTGGCAAAGATGCTTGCACTTCAGGATTGAATGACATGCACCTCCCAAGGAAGTCGAAAAGAAAGGGGACCCCAATTTAGTATCGCCAACAGAACCAAAGAGCCCATGGGGAAAAACGTGGAAAAAGAATGACATAAATATGGATGCCATAATGAATGCAAGAAGATAGAAAGATGGATAACAGTGAAATCAGGAGAAATTGAAGAAATAGAGTTTGAAACAGAAGATAGAAGATGGGGCCCTGAAACATCGAATAGCGAACGGAGATGAAGGCATTGTTCACAACTGCAACCGGCCATGAACGAGAGACAAGAAAGATAAAAACAAGATAGAGCTTTCATACTCTTACGCTTAACCACATGTCGATGAAAAAGAAATTCGTCAGTTACCACCCAACACGCAGAAAGGCGAACCGGTCCGAGTAAAAATCAAAAGAAAAGAAGAAGTAAAAGGGGGATAGAAGAAGAGGAATAAGGGTGAAAAAAGAGATCTTGCAAAGACCACGTCGAAGAGAATCATAAGGTTAAATATGTACAAGGGGCAGACAATGGTCTCAGCAGCGATGGCTCAAGAGGGCTGATGATCCCGAACACCGTGTTCATGACAGGACTTGTCCTTGTCTTTAGTCCTCCAGAAGTGCATGAGCCGGCTGATCCGAAGGCCCTTCTTCTTGGCTCTTTCAGGCTCATCTTCCGGTGGCTTCTCTTCGTAGCTAAGCTTGCTCCGTTCTGCGTGGGGTCCAACAACCAGCTTGGAGAGACTGGCGAGGCTGGATCTCTTAGAACTGTGGGCTTGGCTAGTACGACGGCGCACAGCGGCAGAAAACGACGCTGAACGATCGGTGGACAAGCGAGGACGAGTGAAGAACGTGCCGGAGATCCGGTTCAAGGTGTTCGTTGTGGTTGACGCACTGCTGGTCAGTGAGGGCACATCCTCAACTGAACCCTGGGGAAGATCCACCGAGGGGTTGTATGAGGGGTTCGAAAAATTACGGTCGGTCGTGGATGATGTCGTAACTGAGCGAGGAACGTCGACGGAAGACAACGTGAAATCGGGAGATGGGAAAGAAGAGTTCGGGAGGGAATTGTTGCCTTGGAGAGACAACGGAGGGATATTGGGGGTCAGTTCCAGTGGGGTAGTAGCGCGGTCAGCAGGCATGAATCGAGGCGAGATGTCAGGACTCGGTGGAACAGGCCTGTGGTGCCACTCCTGCCTGTCCGTCTCTGTCGAGCTTTGCAGCGGAGCAGAGAAAGGGTTAGCCGCATTGTGTAACTGAGCGAGCGAAGCCTGCTGTGCGGCGGGCTTCTGTTCCTCCTGATCCGGGCGTGTAGCAGCAATGTGCGTGGCATCGTTTGGTTCGTCCTTCCGTATACCAAGACCAGCGTGAGATAGATCGCCCTGGTTGATTTCTTGGGCAAGCGGCTGGTGTGTCAAAGTATCAGAGCTGTCTTTGCTCTCCTCTGATTGCCTATCTGAATCAACGATGTCGGATGCGGCTACCTGCGGCCCTGGTTGTTCAACAGATCCCTGCTGAGAATCGCCGGTGGCAGCAAGAAAAGCATCCTCCTCTTCTTCGTACAGAACATCGGGGTTCTCTAAGGTTGAGGTGGTGACAAAGCGGTTGCCACCGAGAAAGCTGCGATCAAAGGGGGGCATTTCCGGAGCGCTCTCTGCACGTCGATGATAGCGCATTTCCGGACCTATGAATTCACCTCGTCGGCCACCACTGTACATCCGCTTCGTTGCCGCTGAAAACCCGCTCTCCGCAACACGACTAGACCGCATGTCAGGAGTATTGAAAGGACCCAGAGCTGCATCTAGATCTATCACAGGGCTAAAGGCATCATTCTGAGTATTCTGTTCGTAAAAGCTCCTTGGCTTCCAGGAGCTGTCCAGGCTAGGTTGTAGCTCCTCCTCTAGAGGCAGATGACTAGACTCCGGTGTAGCCGGGTTGGTAGGTGTTCTCAAGACGACGATGTTGTCATCATCGAAATCAACATCCAAGCCAGAACCGAGATCCGAATTTGTCCGGGTTAACGCAGGGGGAGAGGCAGTGGAGTTTGATACCGGCATGTCCTTCTTGGTATGGCGCTTATTCTTACCCCTTGTTAAAAGAGCGCCCGCCCAAGACCGCACTTTCTTCTGCCTCTTCTTGGACTTCGATTTCTTTTTGCCTGAAGGAGATTCCGAAGAGTCATTTGTCTCGCTAACCGAGGTATTCGAGCTGTTTTCTGAGCCACTGGAAGAGGAAGAGGAACGTCGCGATGAGCCTGCAAGGTGCTCGAGGATTCCCGAAGACAAGCTTTTGCGATTACGGGAGTGGCCTGCCGCAGACAATGGCCGTTTCATGGGCGATGCATCGTCCGCTTTGGCGGTCTTGCTCGGATCTAGCATGAAGGATGCATCCGCAGTTCGAGGTCTTGGCCTTGACTTTTCAGCCTTAGGTTGTGTGCTGTCGACTGCAGGAGAAAAGCAAGTATAGCCGCTATTTCTAGCGGAGGCGCCAAGTCCTGATGTTGCCGCCGGCCCAATTTCTTTCGACAGAATCTCAGCCGAGTGACGTCCGGGCGAGGGCATATAGCTAGGAGTACTAGGTTCAACAACCTCTGAGTGGTCTTCCTCAATCACGATGGTAGGCGATACTGGAGGAGATCGCCGGGTCAGAATAGCTGCGGACTGAGAGACTGGTCTAGGAGGGTCATTGGAAGCATGACCTTCGCGCGTTGTGTCCGCCGGAAAGCATGGAGCACTTCCAATGGATGGTTTCAAGTCTAGCGCATTCGAGATAGCCGTGAGATCCACACTGGATATAGCAGCTGAGCGGCGGTGGGCATGACGGCGTTTTCCTTGACTACCCGCACCAAAGCCGGGTCCTGGAGCGGGAAGTTTGGCGGGTGCTGGCGCTAAATTGTCATCCTTGCTTTGAGTGGCCTCGACGGACGCAGGCGGAATGATCGGATGTTCACCACCAACGAACTCACTGCAGCGTCTGCGGTGTCCACCCGGTCTATTTGGGGAGAGAGAGGGCATCGATGGTTGTGATGAATGTTGAGCGCCCGGGTTGAACGAAAACGCTGGGAGCGGCAGAGCAGTCCTCGCACCGGTCTCCGAAGACTGGGGTGTCTCATCGCTAGGATCCCGGGCTGGAAAGACAAAGTGTGGGTTTGGGAGCGGAGCAGACATTCTCAGGTTGCGGCGGCTGTGGTTCTCAGGAGACCGATCAGCCGGGGGAATATATGGAGAGAATGCCGGACTAGCTTGAGGCTGTGGAGGTAGGGATATCGAAGCCATAACGATACGCCGGGTTGATCAAGAGGTCTGGATGATACCGATTAAACCTTGATACAATAAGATGACTTGAATCACGCCGTGGCAAGTAATGGACACAGTTGATGTGACCTCGACGACGCACGGGGACCTCCAGACCTTGGTGACTTCCCTACAATGATTGGAAAGCCCGGTGCTGTCTGGAGGCCTTCAGTTCTGCAATGGTACCATTGAACCCTCGAATCCAAACTCTCAAGTGTCGCACCAAGGAAGAAACGAGGCCCCAAGATCCGATGAATACGAGCCGAAAGAATACAAGTCGGAGTATAAGGTTGCAAAACGGTTTGAAACCCAAAGACACAACAAGCCTCCACAATCGCTTTTGTAACTGGTTCAGTGGTCGAGCAACGCTTTAGAAACAAGGCGAATCGAATGAATGTATCGAGATCGAGGGTGTAAAGGTGTGTCGTACTTGTTGTTGACGAAGGAGACTGGTGTTGTAAGGAGCGGACGGCCACGGGAACGGGCCAAGGAGGAGAGGATGGGCGGAAGAGTCGGGAGTGGACGGCGAAGTGAAGTTAAGAGAGTGAAAGGTTAATGTGAATAAGAAGGTATAGTGAAGAGAGAGGGGGAGGAAAGAAGAAGAGGAGAAGGAGGAAGAGGAAGAGGGAGGAGAGACGGAGGAGGGGAGGAAGAGAGGAAAGAGAGAGAGAGGATCAACCTGGAAAAAGGAAAATGAAGTTGAAGGAAGGAGAGGAAAGGCTGAGGTGCAGCAAAAGGCTTGGTGGTGGAGGAGGAGGAGAGGAGACGGCGACGTATGGAGGGCGGCAGGGGATGATTGGCTGGGTGGCCGGAGGGGCCGCGCCCGTACCGTTCTACCTGGTTTAGTACCATATGATCCGTACCGCGTATTACCAGGGCCATCCGATCGCCCAGCGCTCCAGTCAGCATGCGGAGGCGTGACCACCGAACGATGCGCACCGGTAAAGTACGGAGAAAGGCCAGTCAGTCAGTAATTACTACTAGTAAGTAGGCAGACCTCTCACTCGCTCGCCCTCTCTCCCTCTCTCGCTTTCTCTCTCTTGTCTCGCACTAGCCCGCTTTCGCGGCACCACACTACTAATTAAAGGTGATAGTGAAGGGCTCCATCGTAGCATTAAAATCCATTAATACTAGACTAGACTAGTCTGGCCAGCGCCTTCATGGGGAAATTGCATACTTTCAGTTAGTCAGGCCTGCGGAGTTCTCGGATGAATGCGTGCCTACTAACTTGCTACTACTGCGCCTACGTACGTAGTACCCTGTCGATGAAGTCGCAATACTCCGAATCTGCAGGCTTCCTTATTTTTTATTTTTAATATCTTTTTC